TCGACAGAACTACAATAGCGAAGTTCATTTTCGGTCTGCTCTATCGGTAATTCTTGGCCCAGGATTCAAGCCGGTAGCCATCTGACGACGATATAGGCTAAAATTAGAGTGTAAAAATGTAATTATAAAGTAGTTTTTACACTAAAATTAAATGGTGAGGTCCTGTCTATATGCATTTCATTATACAATTTTTAATAATTTAAATATTACACTAAATATTGGCGCATAAATTATCCAAAACCAAATTTCCTGTTGTAATGCACTGCCTCCTTGCTCGTAGTTGCTTTTGGGTTTAATAAAATATCCTGATGTTGCAAAATCTGCGCAACAACGGTACGAATATAAAAATGAATTAATGATGCTTGCATCGGCGGTGAAGCATATCCACTTCAGAAATATAAATGATTCTAATCATTAATTCTAATCTAATTAGAATTCTAATGCGCAACGCTACAATAAAATGAACAGTGAAATATTCCAAGCTTTCATATAAATTACAAAAAAAATTATTTTAAAATTTTCAAGTTAAAACGTTGAAACAAGAACCAGTTAAGAAACGAAATAATGAAAACAAAATTACTATATGTAAGTGTCAGATCGAATGTAATTGACCAGATTCGTTAGACTAAAATCGCCTTTTCCAAGCTGTTCAGCGATTGGCGTTACCCAGGGGTTTGAATCCAAACGGAAAACCGACTTGCTCCCGATCAAATCCAAGGTTCCTACAATATGTTAATTCACCATTAGTAGAATACAGAGAATAAGTTAATCTCATCAGCTGTTTATCTGCTCGTAAGCTCAGCACAATGCACATCATGCTAAATTACATGCAAACAGTATTAGCAATGTGACGACTAAATGTATAAAATACAGTTTTAAGTAAATATTCAGCCAATGACAAAACACGTTTTATATGGACAAATTAAAGCGATGCCTCAATTTAACAGCTTCTACTTTGTTCGTTAGATGACAAAAATTAGCATAAAGGCTTTTATTTGGAGATTGACGCTTAGATCAGCAATGTTCAATGACCTAAAGTTATGTAAACCATTAATCTTTACACAAATCTTTTAGCCTCCAAACATAAAAACCGAAGCTGTTCCGTTGACTCATTGATTTCATTTGTTGACAAAACGTACATTCTTATTTACTGGATATTCAAATGAAACTACACTTTTGTTTCGACAAAGGGGAATATGGTGGGAAGAAAACAACGACGATGATTTACTGTCTACACGATCAGTAGTCCGTCGTTCCCGGACCCAGAATCGGATAAAAATAGAGTAGGGTTGGAGACATGGGCGAAATTTTCTTAAAACTTAGCCACCTGCCATCAAGGAATTCCCGCCATTCAATATTATACCGGCTCGGTCGTCGCCGGAGTTTCCAGCAGCGGTGAAGGCTGTTAAGGGACTGAGGTAGGCTGCAAAAAGTCAGCGATCAGAACCTGCTCTTCGCCTTCTCAAAAGTCAGGGGCAGAGCAAAATAACAACGGCTGCCTAAGATTGACAAAATGAAAACGAAAATACATATTAGCAAAGGAGCCGCTATCTTTTCTGAACTAGAGGCAGAGACCGCGATGTCATTATAGTACATTAGAAGGAGCTCCACAGGAACGACACCGTCAGTGGGAAATTACAGTCAAAAATTGAAAGTATGACACTGAAAAAGTGTTTACTTTCGAAAATTGAAAACATCCTCACTCAGACCGAAAGAACAGGAGCTAGTCAATGAAGCCG